AAATTTCAACAACTGTTAAGGTTTCAATGACACCCCCCCCCCCCAAGTAATTTAGTCAAGATTTTTTATAATTCCCCACCCCGTAGAAAAAATGAATTATAATATAAATAAATATTTAAATACATTTTTGTTCTGATCTATTTTAATAACACAAAATTGTAGGAAAAACTTTTTATTGCATATTTAGCTTGTTAATCAACAAGTTAAAACGTTCTTACACTTAAATTTTATAATGCACAATCAATGAACAGGTTGTTACAGATTAAATATCATTGTTTGTGGAAGTAGAAATATGATTATTGTCTGTATCGCTGACTATTGTAGCATAGTTTCTAGCTGCTATCATCTTCCCAGGGAGTAGCCAGGTGTTGCTCTATCGTAACAATGGGCATAGTAGTCAACATCATCCTCATCTAACCATTCAGCACTTACATTAGAAGCTTAATCGAATCCTTTTTTGTTGAGGAACAGGTGGTAATTTCTTATGCATTGTGGGTGCTGTTGAACGTGTTATTTCAACATGACTTGAGATGCAAAATAGATGTTACAGATTTTGCAAATCCGTTCAAGCAGCGATGTTATTATTGTTACTCACTTTACTTTCCTTTAATTCTCATTAATTCTCGTATTCTTACTCTACCAATATCATTTATCTTGACTGCATATGACATGTGAACCTTGTTCTTGTTCCATACTTGCAACGCGATCACAAACATACCGCCCAAGTCATTTGTGACAAACAGAATCTACAGGCAAAGAGATGCCAACTTTTGACTTCTTTTGCACTAATAAAATGTGCTTACATTCTGACCAGTTATCAGCAGTGCACAGACAGACACACATTAAATAAATCATATATTGTTAAAAGCCTAAAAATTATATAACTATTTAAATTTACAAATATTAAATTTGTTAAAATAATGTAATAACCAGTCAATTTTTAAAATAAAAATTTAAATAGAGAAAACATGATTGTTGACATCGAATAATCTAAACCCCACCCCCCCCCCTCCTTTTTCAACAATTGTCAAACATTTCCAAACCAACCCCACCCCCTATTTTGTTGACATAATTAATGGACGACCCCTTAAGAGTTGTAAAGGAGGCAGGCAATAACTATAGGCAGCTAGAAAGTTCAGATAAGTCAGTATTTAGTATATTTAGCTTGAAAGTTTACACTTTGGCCCTGAGCCATCTCATTTTTAGTAGACTGTCTCAATATACAAACTACCATTCCATACATACTAGTCTCAAGTCTGACATATAGCACTGACTCAGACTCATGTCACCTGATGTTTTCAAAATTCATGTTTAAAAAAATTTAATCAAAATAGTAAGTAGGCTACCAAGTCTTAGTGATTTTGATTTTACTCAGAGTTACAGTAAGGATAGTTTACTGCTAAAACTTGCCAACAGTCAACAGTGAACAGACAAGAATACTACAACTTTTACAATTATAACCCTAATTATAACTACTACAATTACATGCTGGATTCTGGAATTAAATACTATAATCAATAGTCATTGAATGCCTCACCAGAATAATTATATTATAATAGATCTAATCTTCAATTCCAACCCCACCCTTGTTAAACAATCCACATGTGTCCCAGGCATTTTCTACCATGTCGCAGTGGTGGTTGACTTTTACTTTATAGCTCAACTAACGTACCAGAAACCCAGGAAATCTTACAAGTTCGATAAGGCAAACTGGGATAAGATCAAGATAGATCTCGATTTTGCCAAACAGGCCACCCTAAGAAGTTATAATGAAGGAAAGGATGTAGATATACTATGGTCAACCTTTAATAATGCCTTATCCAACAGCATTGATCAAAATGACCCATCAGCCACAGCAAAGAATCCATGTAATCTACCATGGCTGAACACACGACTCAAGAGGCTGCTGAAGAGAAAAAAAGACTATTGAAGAAAGCCCAATCTACAAAAACTGGAATCTATACCGCCATTTCCAAAAGCACTGTCGTAGGGATCTAAGAACAGGAGAGTGGCAGTATTTAAATGGAGTTATTCAAGAAGGCCTCGAAAACAACAACACAAAACCCTTCTGGCACTACATAAAATTCAAGAAGCAAGACAACATTGGCGTAGCCCCCCTACAAGAAAACGGACAACTTATAAGCGATAGCCAATGCAAAGCAGAAATTCTTCTAAGTCTAAGGCAGTTTCAATCTGTCTTCACTAAAATTTCCACCACAGTCATGCCATCCCTAAAACCATATCCTGGTACAATAGGCCCCCTCAACATAACTGAACCAGGAGTAGCCAAACTTCTCAAAAACCTGAAGCCAATAAAGCGCCTAGACCCAACTGTATCCTGAACATTGTCATGAAGACCCTGGCTGACAACATTGCCCCACGGATACTACTTCTAAGCTAAGTGGTATATTTTTTTTAACGAAGTGTCTACACATCCAGCGCGCCGGACAAATAGTGCGCATGATATATGTCCGGTGGGCATGTCACGTGACCGCCGGACGACTAGTAGTTGTTATTATTCCGAACGAAGTGGTTATTGGAAGATCTTGTGTGGTCTTGTGGTAGAGTGGTCGCTTGACGATATTATATTAGTGGATCAATGGACCAATTTTAATTTAAAATATTTTATATTATATTTATATTATCATGTTCATCAGCAAATTTAGTTTCATGAGTTTTTAAATATTTTGTAGCAATTTAAACAATTTAAAAAGAAATCTTTTACTTTTATTGGTTGCCTACTCCATACTGGCCCCTAATTTATTTATGGATTACTCATTTGCTGGTACACAAACTCAAATAACAAACTAAACAAAAATGTTTACACGCCAATTTCACTTAAGTTTTTTTTCTATTATTTGCATTCAAGATACTCAGTACATTACTTGGTAGAGAAATAGATTTTAAAATTCACAATAGTTTTGAATCATTCGCGGTCACGTGACAAAGCTGACAGACAAGATATCTCTCGCCACTTTGTTACGGCGGTCATGTGACTTGGTCGCCGGACAAATAGTGCGGGAGATATACGTCCGGCGCGGCCTGACGTGTAGACACTGACTTTTTTTATACCGTTTTTTTTCTGTTGTTTTGTTCGCTGATGAAGGCTTTCTGCCGACAATTTCTTTGTTTTGTTGCGTTCCTTTTTCAGGTTTAACCTTACTTTGTTTTACTCATTTTATATTGAGCTAACCTGATGTGATTGCAGTCTCTCCCCTTATTAGCCAGTCAGTCAGCCAGCCAGCCACCCACAAACAAAAGCCAAGTTAATATAAAGCTAACTATAACGATTTTAAAAGAGTGTCTAGGGATTTTCAATCCCAATAATTATAATTTATAATTCAATCAATATCAATATTCTGATAATATTCAATATTCCATTCATTTAATTTAAATTTTGTTATAGGGCCCTTATGACTTATGTACTGTACTGTACTGAACTGTACTGTACTTGACTTACATTTGGCGCGGCACGGGATTTACAATATTGATATAATAAATATTAATATTATAAAACCTAATAATTAGGTATTAGTAATAATTACCTACAACTCTATCTACTATATTAATATATGTAATACATATATTTATTAATCTTTATCATACTTCATGCTATATCCAACGCTAGTCGATACACTTCTGCAATCCGCTCTTGTTTTCTTTTGTTTTTCGTCTGCTAAATTAAAAATTAGTACAATCAAACTGGAATTATTACATTTTAATAATTTATGAAGGAAGCTGTTGTAAATAAACATAAAATATAAAAAGTATTAAACTATATTCAAATTTATTTATATTTATTAAAAGATAATTATCCATTTAATTATTTTATTTAATTGCAATTATTTCTTCAGATTAAAAATACTTATTTTTCTTCGTTTATTTTCTTTTTAGGATCGCGTTTTTTATATAACAAGATGGCTTCAAAGTCATGATAGGAGAGTAATTTGAGCAACTAGCAGTCCTACCTGCATTTAGAAGTAACACATGCTTTGGTTTTCTTAATGCATACGGCTTATTAACAATGAGAGCATATTGTTTTTGGCTTCTTTAATGATTACTCACAGAAAAAATGTGATGCGCATCGTCGCTATTGTTACAATTATGGGCAAAAACAAATGAAGTTTTAATTTTTAGCAACTCTGCTGAGTACTCTGACGTCTAACTAAAATTAATAAACCGATAATTTATTTAGGCCACTTTAAATGACATTTCCACTGCCAGAACTCTCTCTGTGCATACCCCATAATATGATTATGAAAAAATTAATATGTGGGCATATTAGAGAAAAAGAATACCTAGAATGGCAAACCTCTAGAATTTAGATTCTAGAGACAAAACTTTTTTGGACTGTCTGTGACTGTCAAGAAGACAAGCCAAATTATGCAAATTAGATATCATGATTTGCATAATTTATGCATGCAATTATTTATGTACACTTAGAATTAGAATAAACATGTCTTACTTGCAGAACTTTGTTAATTTTTTTTTTTTATTGTTGAAGCCTAAATAAGCCGTAACAAACATTTGAATGAGATTTAATGTGAACAGCTGCATAAAATATTCCCCTGGGGATGCTTATGCCTTGTAGATCTTTTTCCACATCATCCATCCATCTAAGCCTTGGTCTGCCTTTAAGCTGTTTTCCTCTTGCGTTTTGGTGATGTACCCTCTTCACTCATCTGTCATTCCCTCTAAGTGTCCTGCCCAGCGTAGCCTACCCTTTTTTATTTCTGCTACTAGTGTTGGATCCTGATATAAATTGTATAATTCCTGGTTGTTTCGTATCTTCTTCTTCTTATATTTGAGGGGCCCACGATCAATTTGTTGATCATTCTGGCTCCTGGTTTAAATTCAGAGTTTTGCCTTCTCTTAGATGGGTTGCTGTCCAAGGCTAACGAGTCCCATTCACCCGGAGTGCTTGAGATGTTGGCTTTGGTAAGGATTGAACTCCAGACCACCAGCTATTTGGTTTGGGGGAGTTTAGACCGCTCGGCCACCCCAGCACACCATTCTCCATACATATTCATCCTTTGTTGGTCCATATATTTTCCTGAGAACATTTCTCTCCCATGTGTTTAATAGATTTTTTGCCATTTTTATTAGGGTCCAAGATTTACTTGCATATGTTACAACTGGTCTGATTACAGTTTATATAGATTTTTATTTGTTTTTCTTGTAATGTTTTTATTTTTTAGTATTTTGTGACTACTGAAGTATGCCCTGTTTCCTGATGATATTCTTTCTTTTTTTTCTGTTAGTAGTTCATTTCTTTAATTTGTTGGACATACAAAAGAAGAAATCAATATGCAAATAACTGAAAACTTCCAGGAAATTATTTGCAATATTGAATTTATTTGTTCATCCGTTGAATTTGTGTTGATGTGATGAGAAAACAAATGTTTGACAAAATATTGACTTTAAATTGAGTTAAAATTACTTTAAAAATGTTCTGCTTTTGGGGGTTAGAGGGTTACAGGTAACACCTGTAATAAATAGTTTAACCCTTTACGGGGCAGAGGTACTTCCTCTTGCATCTCCTGAATGGGCACCACTTCTCCGGTTTTTAGTAAGATTTAGGGTTATGTTAGTAAAAAAAATATAAGCTAAGGTGTTAGGCAACAAATTTTTGTGAAATAAAAAGCAAAATAAAGGAAAATGAATGCAGATTTATAATTTTATTCACATGTTGCCATTAATCCTCATATGAACATCTGTCAAAAGTTGATCATGACCATTTTAAACATCGGGTTGTTGCTGGGACTGAATTTGTCTGTGGGTGCTCAAATGGCTGATCAAGCCAATTCTGGCACGAAATGTTCTGGTGCAGTGGATGGATGGGGAAAACTCCAAGTAATGAATTAAATCTGGCTTTTCTAGCTTATCTTGTGTGTTTTGCAGCAGCTGTTCTTATAGTCTCATGTAGTATTAAGCCCTGGTGTAGGGAGGAGCGTCACAAGACTTGATTCTTTGAGGATTGTTCCCACATGTCTGGGTCAATGTGAAATGCTTTCAAAGATGATTTCAGTGTTTCTTTAAACGTTTCTTCTGTCCCCCAACAAACCCTCTGCCCTGCTTGACTTTGCCATAAAATATTCTTTAGTGCAAGCTGGCGTCTGACATTCTTGCAACATGGTCGGGACTGCATTAATAAGATGTGTATGCTTGAAAGACCTGCTTGTGCGAGCACCTCAGTGTCTGGTATCTTGTCCTGCCATTGATGTTGAGGATTTATGACGGTCATTGTGTGAAAGTGATTTATATGCCGGGTATTTGTAAAAACAGGGTTTGAAAAAATTAACAATTATTAAATAGCCCGTTTTATTTTTGTAAAGAATTTTTTTTAAACTGAAGGTTAAAGTTCAGACAACAATGAAACAATTAAAGGTGACTAGGCAACCTGAATTTGTCTTTCTATCTATACACATATATGTTATACTTTAATATAGGTGCTAGTAATAATTAAAACAGAAAGAATCTTTTATTTAAAGTAAATTTCTTAAAATGTGTCCGTCTGTTTAAAAATTTCTCAAACACCTTCATATGGTTCTGAATTTGGCTATTCTTTCTAACAGTTAACAAGCTATATTTTATGAGGTTATCAGTGCGGGTGAACATAGATATATTTTAAAATTAATCAAAAATTGAACTCATTTTAAAGACTACCATTGATGCTATAAAACAACCATTTTTTTTTCTTTTGGTTTAGCAGTGACTGCATGTTGATCTTCTTGAACAGTGTCCACCATTTTAAAATGAAAGGCTCTTTTAAGTTCAATTTGATTTTCTGTGTGAGGAATATTCAAGTATCCTTTCTAAATGACAAGCTGTCCATGAGGAGATGGAAGCTCTTACATACCACTAGAAAGCTGTTAGAACAGACAGACCATGAAGTTATGTCTAAAATTCGAAATATTGGCATCATGGCACACATAGATGCTGGGAAGACAACTACAACAGAAAGGATGCTCTATTATTCTGGATTTTCCAGACATTTAGGTAAGGTATCTAATAGGTTGTTGTTTTTTTTTTACCTTAAATTAAAATTAAAAGTTGTCAAATGGAATATATTATCCAACAAAAAAAGAAAAAGACACTCTTCATAATTTTACAATCTTTTGGTTAATTGTATATATATTATAAATTCTAATGCTGACTATTTTTTGCTTCGCTACTACTAGAACTATAATATAATGCCAAAAATTTTTTTTTTTTAATTTAACAAATGCGTTTGAGCAATTAAATATGCAATTCCTTTTAAAAACAGAAATAAAGATTTCCCTTGAATCAAGTTTTTCCCATCTTATCGAGCAGATGTGGCCAGTTATATGACCATCATGCGTCTCATTAGAATAACAATGTCAATATCAAAAAGAACATTATTGAAGAGATATGAGGCTGTTATTCAGTACCTGTGCCCAATCCCCTTCCTTCCCATGCATGTAAAAATTAAGTCAATGAGACTTCTAAAAAGTCTAAAGCTAGTAGGATGCAATAAAATTTTAAGCCTGCTTTGTGAGCAGATTACAAATGTGTTCCCACACTGAGTTGAACTGAGTCAATCCCAAACTTGTGGACTGGAGTTCAATCCCAAACTTGTGGACTGGAGTTCAATCCCAAACTTGTGGACTGGAGTTCAATCCCAAACTTGTGGACTGGAGTTCAATCCCAAACTTGTGGACTGGAGTTCAATCCCCATCAAAAGCCTAACAACACCAGCATCTCAGTTGAATGGGACTCACCAGCATCTCAGTTGAATGGGACTCACCAGCATCTAAGTTGAATGGACTCACCAGCATCTCAGACAGTTCAAGCTCTGAAATCAAACCCGGAGATGGAATCCCGTGGGCAGAATGAAATTGAGACAATGAAAATTCCAACAACTCCCGCGACATGGAACACATAAGAGAGCACAATGAGACGCAAGAAATGCTTCTAGTCATCTGGTTTATTTCCATTTGTCTGGACTAAGTCTTGCCATTGGAACAGTAGGCAAGGAAGAGAGCGTGAGGCTGATGAATTGAGAAACTCTCCCTCACTTTTTTCAGCAAAATACTGCTTAAGTCAAAGCTACTACTCAATTCAAAGCCTTGGTCATAATGGCCTGCAAAGGATGAACAATACTGAACCAAGATTGACTTTATAGATTTTTTTAAAAAATTGTATTCAAACTTTAAGATTTTTAATTTTTTAATTATCTGTTTAATGGTTTGTTGTTTTGTTGAAGTTTTAGAATTTCTATAAATATCAGATGCTAGCATCCAAAGAACGCATAATTCAGAACCAATTATGTTTTTCCATTTAAGTAGTCTTCTATGTGAAAATAGAATTGAGAAATGTTTCTATGTTGTTCTCCTTTACACTACAAGCTTTCAAATTTTAACAAGTAGGGAGATGTTTCTAAAGGATCTGATATAAATAAGGGATACTGGTGTCTTTTCATACAAAATATTCACATTATATCATTAAAAAAACTACAAAGAAAACCTGCTAGCAAATTAAATTGATTTTCTAAATTTCATACATTAATTTACAAAAAGTATATATAGTATCATTTTTTTATACTTATAGCATACATCTTATGAGCTACAACATCCCCCCCCCCCAATTCAGCCCAGCCTTTTTCCTGTAGCGATTGCTCCACAGCCATACTTTGCCACCAGGTCAAGTAAATGTTTATTTAACGCCATACTACTATTTTTATAATTTAATTCTTGATGTTCCAATTACCAGGTGATGTTGACCATGGGGACACTGTCATGGATTACATGGAACAAGAGCGAGATAGAGGCATAACAATCACCGCAGCTGCAATCACATTTAACTGGAAGGGTCATAAAATTAATCTTATTGACACTCCAGGTAATGCTAATAAAATCATTTTGCAAGTGAAAAAATTATATTTTGTAATCTCCATCATAGCAGCACTTTTACTAACTGCAAAATTTCAGTTTTGACATGTTGCAACCGTTCTAAGCTTAAGGATTCTTACTTTAAAATGTAAGACAATGTTATGTGTATAATAAATTGAAATTGGCATGTTGACATATTGCCACTGTTCTAAGCTTACAGAACTCTTATTTTAAAATATACGTCACTTTTATGTGTACAATAGCTTGATGTTGACATGTTGCCATGTTCTAACCTTATAGGACTCTTACTTTAAAATCTAAGTCTAAGACACTGTTACGTTTACAATAATTTGATATTGGCATGGAAGCGTGCAGTTGTTATGAGCTAAATACAATGTCAAAATGAGAAAGGAAGAGATTATAAAAAAGTTAAAATAATTGTTGGAATTGCCTTTAAATTATGGATCTAAATAGTATACCTTGTGCATATTCACCTAGTTTATATTTTGCTGAAAAAAAGTTTTAATTAATTTTTTTATAATTTCTATGTTTGATAAGGTCATGTTGATTTCACTGTGGAAGTGGAGAGATCCTTGAGAGTATTGGATGGTGCTGTGGCTGTTCTAGATGCATCTGCAGGTTACCAATTGTCTATTCAGTTAGATATTTGGGGATAAGAGCATGATTTTTTTTAAAATTAAAATAAATGTCATAGTTGTTATATTTAGATATTTTTGTCTTTTTGAGAGTTTAAAAAATACTTATTTTATTTTATAAAATAGTAAAGGCTATTTCTTCTAGTGATAACATGATATTCAAAGGGTTCCCAATTTTTATCCAGAAGCTGAAGAAGTCTTACATTTTAAATACCGGTAGTAATATAAATAATCATTTTAATTTAAAAATACATGTTCAATTATTATAGTACAATGTTTGCAGGGAATATTTATACTCAAATTAATTACACTTATAAAAAGTCTTGCTTTGTCTGTTGTGGTAGCATATTTTTTTTTAACTAAACCATTTAAGTTGCCAGAAAAGATGTAAGTTGATTTGTGTACACAGAAAAATCGAAGTGTTCATTTATACCAATTAATACTGTTGGTTAAATTCATTTAGACTATCTGGTACATCCCATTTATCACTTTGATAACTATTTCTAAACACAGGTGTGGAAGCACAAACCCTTACAGTTTGGCGTCAAGCTGATCACTACCAAATTCCTCGCCTGGTCTATCTCAATAAGATGGATAAGCCAGGAGCATCTATTGATCTCTGTCTAAACTCTCTACGCCACAAACTCCATGTAGAGCCACTTGTTGTCAACCTACCTATTGGTTCGGGGAGACGTTTTGTTGGTGTCTATGACTTGATACACATGGAAACTGTAGAATGGAACGACAGCAAGTCTAAAGATGGCAGCATATTTGAGAGAAAACCAATCCAGCTGGAAAAAGACACGGAACTGTCCGAATTTATTTTAAAGGCCAGGTCAGAACTGGTTGGAAAACTTGCAGACGTTGATGAACATATTGCAGATCTTGTGCTTTGTGACACTAAAGTTGAGCATTTTTCACCCCAAATACTGATCTCTGCCATCCGGACTGCAACACTTAACCGTAAATTTGTGCCTGTTCTATGTGGTAGTTCTCTTAAGAACAAGGGCGTCCAGCCTTTGCTGGATGGCATCACCTTCTTCCTTCCCAGTCCCATGGATGTGACTTATGGGTTCGCCAAGTATTACGGTACCCATCTGTGTGCACTGGCATTTAAAGTAACCCATGACAAGCAAAGAGGCCCATTGACATTTGTGAGACTATATTCAGGTATGTTGAAGACAGGAGCCTATGTGTTCAATATTAACAGAGGTAAAACCGAGAAAACTAGCAGACTCCTCCAAGTTTATGCTGATGAATTACATGACATATCTACAGCTGTGGCTGGGAATATTGTGGCTATAGCTGGTTTGAGAGAGGTAACATCTTTTTTTTCCTTTCTATTTTATCTTCAAAAGTTGTTAATGGCCCATTCTGTCAATATTATTATTTTTATGTGTGTGACCATCCATTGGCAAAGCATTCAAGTGTTTTCCAAGTCAGCATAATTTCAGATCAATGCCCCCTATAATTCTATCTGTTTCAGGGTAAATAGAATCAAATCATAGATTTCATCAGTTACGCTATTCAAAAAATAATTAAACCTTATGTAGATGACACGTGTGTAGCTGACCCTTGTGTAGATGGCCCTTGTGTAGATGACCCATGTTTAGATGGCCCTTGTGTAAATGACCCACGTGTAGATGACCCTTGTGTATATGACCCATGTGTAGATGTCCCATGTGTAGAAGACCCTTGTTTAGATGGCCCTTGTGTAGATGGCATTTGTGTTGATGACCCTTGTGTAGATGACACTTGTGGGGGTGACCTTTGTGGAAATGGCACTTGTGTAGATGACCCATGTTTAGATGACACGTGTGTAGCTGACCCTTGTGTAGATGGTACTTATGTAGATGGCCCTTTTGTAGATGGCTCTTGTGTAAATGACCCATGTGTATATGACCCATGTGTAGATGACCCTTGTGTAGATGACCCTTGTGTAGATGTCCCATGTGTAGAAGACCCTTGTGTAGATGACCCTCGTGTAGATGACCCTTGTGTAGATGACCCTTGTGTAGATGACCCTTGTGTAGATGACCCTCGTGTAGATGACCCTTGTGTAGATGACCCTTGTGTAGATGACCCTTGTGTAGATGACCCTTGTATTAGAAACAAAAGATGAATCTGTGTTGATGGTTTTTAACTTACATAAAAAAATTTCTCTGCATTTTAAGCAAAAAATACATAAAATGTAGATGACCCACATCATGGTCATAAATGAGCCTATTATAACTTATTAAAATTAGATCCCCTGCCCCGAACTGAAATTACCATTGATTATAGTGTAGTGAGCCCTAAATAATTAGTCCAAAAAAATGATGGTGTAATTATTACATGTTTGAAAGAGATTTATTTTGAAAGATATTTTCAAAAAACAATATTGCTTTATTTTGCCTACCATTTATTTGTTGTGACAGACTTTCTAAAACCCTACGTTAAAACTTGTGGCTGTTCAATCCCTATGATCAGATATTGAAGTTTGTGAGATTTAGAAATAAACCATGCCTTCTGTCTCCTAAGACATTCACTGGGGATACAATCACTTCAAGCAGTAAAGCTGCCCAGGATGCTGCTAAAGCTTACATCCATGAAAACGGGACAAAACATCTGGACAAGTCAGAACTTAAGATCAAGGAATCAAGTAAAATAGGAGGTAGAATACAGTACAGTATACTTTGTCACTTTAAACCCATCAGAAAAAGCATTAACTTACTGTAAATGTCCTCCAACTAAATAAAACCTGATGGCCAACTGTAGGTGTTTCAGAATTTAAAATAATTTTTAATGTTTTTTTTGCTTCACTTTTTAAATAAGATTTTATCTGTTTTCTGTTATTTTATCTGCTATCTGTTGCCCATTGGTTGCAAATTTAGATTACACTATTTTAGTTAAATCATTTTCCTGGTATAGTAGGCTAGTTTAAAAAATTACACCAGCTGTACAATCAATCTTACCTTCAATAAGATGAAATAACAACAAAGGAAATTTTACCTGTAATTTCTTAATCAAGATTGAATATAAAATAATTAAAATCAAAGGCTTGTTGGAAAAGCCTCAACTTGTTACAGGATTTTCCACAACTTAGCCATTTTATTAGCATTACTTTAATCTGATATTGCTGTACAATGTATATCACATCTTCAGGTCCAGAAGAAGCAGAAGAAGAGGACTCATTAACAAGTGATATGGTCCCTATTCTAGCTGGCCTCACACTACCAGATCCTGTCTTCTTCTGCTCTATTGAACCCTCAAGTTTGTCAGTTCAAAAAAATCTAGACTCAGCTCTAGAGTATCTACAGAAAGAAGATCCTAGCTTAAAGGTAATTTTCATGTGTATTTTGTCTTTGGAAATTCTTCAAAATCTGCAGTAGGTGGTTTGTTTTTTGAATAAGGGAAAGTTAGTTTTTTTATGTCAAGACAATTTATCACTTCATCTATCTGCTTGCTAACATTTTTTGTCAATGAAATAATTTGAAAAGTTAGTTGAAGTAGATTTGGAAAGAATTTCAGATCATTGACATTGCTGAATAAACCCCTGCAATCCCTTCTTTCAGGTGGAGATAAGTGCCGAGACTGGACAGACCATTTTGTCTGGTATGGGTGAGCTCCATCTTGACATCATCAAGTCACGACTGGAGAAGGAGTATGGTCTTGATGTAGACTTGGGCCCTCTGCAGATAGCATACAGAGAAACCATAACTAGCCATGCAGGTATTCCCTTCACAAGCAAGCCAGTCAAAGAGCTAGAAAATATCGATTTTCCAAATAAATTCTAACTTTTTGTACATACAATTTTAATGATCTGAAAATGGCCCAATGTCTCTATTTTAATACTTCTTTCCAAAATTTAAAAAAAAAAGTTTCCATTATTGATTTTCAGAGGTGACAGAGGTTTTGGATAAAGAGCTTGGAGGACGACACCAGTTTGTCCACATCAAACTTTCCCTCCATCCCAACATTGAGCAACGTGAGTTCAAGCATGTTGTCCTACAACGAACATCAGATCATCCCCTGGCCATCAAGCACAAACTGTTAAAGGCAATAGAATTGGGGATCAAGTCTGGACTCTCTCATGGTTAGTTGCCTCATATATGTTTGATGTGATGTCCATGCAGTGGTAGAGTTTGTTGGACTTATGCCACCTTGTCATTTATAGAGATCGTGGTCTTTTAGCGATTGGGTTTTTTTTTCCATTCAAATTTTAATGAAACAATCCTTGATATGTTTTAGTTGGATACATTTTGTTTAGTAAAAATGTTATTAGAGTAATAGTCAGTCTAAATCTTTAATATTTTGGTCCTTTTTTTGTTAGTGCTGCTGTTGGATTCAGCATTAATCTGGTCATGACACGGCTAATAAAATTAGGGTATTCTTGTTTAAAAATAAAATTATGGACTGTTACTTGATACATTCAGCTTTACCCTTTGAGATGGAGCCTTTTTTTGGAGTGTCTTTGCTAAGAAGACAGAGCCCTTTTACATGCTCGGTACTCAAATGGCAAAACATATATTATAAAAAATATACTAATTACTTTACTAATATAAAACTGTCTATATTCTTGCAGGGAATTGAATAAAATAATGCGATCTTTATGAATCAAACTGAAGTCTCAACATTTATGCAAATAATATACATTATTTTCATAATTTATGCATGCAATTTTTTTTTACTCTTAAAATAAACATGTCTTACTTGCAGAATTTCGTTAGATTGTATGATTGTTGAAGCCTAAATAAGTCCTAACCAAGCGGTTCGCAACCTGTGGGTTGCCACCCCTTTGGGGGTTGAATGTCCCTTTCCCAGGGGTTGCCTAAGACCATAGGAAAACACAAATACTCTACAATTATGAAGTAGCAACGACAATAAATGTGTGGTTGGGGGTCGCCACAACACGAGGAACTGTATTGAGGGTTGTGGAATTATGAAGTTTGAGAACGACTGTCCTAACCCATATTTGAATGAGATGCAGTGTGAAAAACTACATAAAATATCCACGGGCTGCTTATGCCCGTCAGGGTCACATATATTTTAAGCATTTGTAGGGGTCACTAGGTAAAAAAATTAATTTAAAATGGTGGAACACAGTAAAATATAAATGGAAGCCACCATTAAAATGGTGAGAGGAGCAAGAAATGCAGGAAGCAATCTGAATAGCTAGTACGAAGACCAGCCAGCCAATCTTGAGGCTTGAATTATGGAGGAGATAGATCAGCCTTTTGTATTTTTTGCCATTTGACCAAGAGGGTTAAAAAGCATTGCAAATTTATTTATTATTTACTTTCCCCTTGATACAATCCTCTGTTGACAGGAAGCCTCCTGAACTTCCCAGTCATTCACACAGACGTTCACTTGCATGAGTTTAACACACATTACCACACCAGTCTTCCTATGGTAACAGCATGTGCTGCCATGGCTGTGCAAAGGGCTTTGAAACAAGCCGACTGTGTGCTGTTAGAACCAATGATGGCTATGGAGGTGAGAAGATCATCAGTTTATTATACTGATCTGAATGAAGTGTTTCTGCATTTGAATGAAAAATGAAAAGAAAGAACATTTTGTTTCCAGGTTGTTTGTTTCGATATTAGTATTACTATTTAGAAATGTTCTTTTTAAGATTTATTTAAATTGATATATTTAAATACATTTTTTAAATGAACTGGCCATTTCATTAAATCTGTTGACCAATGAAAAAAAAATGTTCTTTGTATTTTAATTTTTCAATATCTTTCTCTTTTGGGTTGCTTCTAAGAAAAGATTATGTCTCAATGTAAAAAAGCTATAGTTTTGCACAACTGTAACATGTCTGTAATATAAATTACTTTATAATTCATTTAATTAAACTTCAAAACTCAAACAAATGAGTAATCAACCAGTGCCATTTGTCTTGTGCCCATGTGGTGGAGCTAGGCTTAGTGCTCCCAGGATGGGCTAAGCTCTTTGCTGCTCCTCTTCTGCAAAAAAAACTTTGCAGTTTTCCCAAAATGATGCCCTTGGCCCACTTAAACTTTTAAATTTAGTCTTTCTTCCTCATTGATTTATATAATAATTGTTTGCATGCATACGTGATCTAGTTCACTGTGTGTTTTTTGGTTGTTGTTTTTTTTCCATTTTTATTGTTTTATCCAGCCTTTCTGAATTTTTTTACAACTGGCCTCATAATATTTGAGAAAAATGATAAAATTTAAAAGAGCCATAATCATGGCCATTTTAAAAAAATGTTAGGTTACTGAGGTATGTTAGGTTTTAAGAAATCTGACAAGAGGATATTTAGATCCAAAAAGAAGTTCATTGCATTATTTAATCATTATTTCTGTCCTTCAAGGTGAGCACTGATGAGGAGAAGCTTGAGGTCGTTCTGGCAGACCTTGGCAAACGCCGCAGCCACATCCTTGACGTTGTCTCCAGACAGGATTCCAAGACGATCAGTGTGCTGACACCCTTACAAGAACTCCTGGGCTACTCCACTGCACTAAGAACAATAACATCTGGCACTGCTAGCTGCTCCATACAACTTTCTCACTATGAGAAGATGAACAGAGAAGAGATGCAGAAAGTGACAGAGAGGATGACGGGATTTCATCCATCTTCAATGTTTTAGTGGAGGGAATTTTGGGGATTTGGTGGACCTGTGATAGATGAATGGGTCAAATGTCTGGAGGTCCTTGGGAGGCTTTCCTCCATCAACTTTTGATTGATCACCCCTCACTTCCTACCCGATGGTTGTCTACGCCACATGATCTTGATTTAAAACATTACCGGTATGTTCTTTGCTGGCCCACTTATACTTAAAAATTGGTTTATTTCTATGCCATACATCAGGTAACTCAATTTCAATTATGTGTTCCTAAATATTGGATAGCACTTAATAAATGATGACTGAAAAGTCTGTTATTAGTGTTACTTACAACTAAGGCTGTATAATCCTGTAGACCACAACAAAATACACTAAAACTACAATGTAGTGATTACAGTCATCTGAATCGAATCTCCAATTTCATGCCTTCCCACATTCTCTCTCTCTCTCTCCCTCCCCGTCAACATTTATATATTCTTCTTTACCCTCTTATCACTGTGGGAACTAAGAAATTACAGTGGAGACCCCCCCCCCCCCCCCCCCCCACCCACATTCTCTCTCTCTCTCTCCCTCCCCGTCAACATTTATATATTCTTCTTTACCCTCTTATCACTGTGGGAACTAAGAAATTACAGTGGAGACCCCCCCCACCCCTTCCCAATCCCCCTTATTTGGGTCCATGAATTCAGATCATGTTAATGCAAGTTTTTACAATATACCTGGCCAATATTTTGAATTTTTTTTTAGAGTAGGAATATAGGTGATTTCTTTTTTAATCTCTTGTGGCTAGTAAGGTATGTTAGGCTAGTAGTGAGGTATGTTAGGCTAGTAGTGAGGTATGTTAGGCTAGTAGTGAGGTATGTTAGGCTAGTGAGGTATGTGGTATGCAAGTTGGGATAGTATTAGTGGATATTGTATTGTATGAGAAAATCTTCTTTTTTTTTATATACACATTTTTTCCTACTACCTTTAGAAAAAAAACATTTATAAATGAATACACATAATTTCAGGAGCCATGCCCCAATTGTATGGTATCCCAAATTGCGTTATAACAGGTTTCGGGGGGAGGGGGGGGGGTCTCCAACCTTAATGTAAAAAGACAAATATATTGTACACATACTCATAGCCCAACTGAGTCTTGTTAGTAGCATAATTCCAATAATTATCAATATGTTGTTATTATTTAATTTATATTTTCAACAAGCCAATATGTGCCTATATTTGATTGTGATCTCTGTTTTTACAAGCGCTTATCCCATGAGAGCCAAAACAGCTGTATTATTTGAAAATTATTACATTATAATTTGTCCATTGAGAGTGAAAGTGAAAATATGGAAAATTCTTAATTTTTGACATTTTCATGCTTCTGAATATGAAATATCTCAATGAATTAATTGAGGATTGAATTAAATGTAACTGATTTATTCTTAACACTGTAAAAATTAATGAAAGAAGAACATAATTTAAAAGCTATCTCGGTAAGGGGAAATGTTAATATTGATTTTTTGCTCTGAAGGGACAATAACGCTTCATAAGGTTGTTACGGGACAACATATCAAATTTACAAATTGTATCAGGCTCAAAGTGGAATGACATTAAGGTGTGGTCAGTATTATTCTAGTATTTAAAAATTACAAATAATACAATGGCTCCCAACACGAAAGTGATACATTTCTTGACTGTTCTATTTGTGTTACATTGCTCAATAAGCTACCACTATACCTATTTAGCTCTCATTGTTGTTTAAATTGTTTATTTATTATGGAATGAGCCTTAATGTTATAATAAACGTTTGGTGTTATGTTGAATGTTTGATGTGGAAGTTAATGTGATATGAAATGTAGTGGTTTCTAAAATTATGATTGCCCCAGAAGATTGAAATTAACCATTTACCCTGGTCCTCATTAGTGATGTTACTGTTACCTTGTGTACAAAGACAGATAATAGAATTTATTATGAATTTTATAACTGTTCAATTAATATGTGCTTTTTTTTAAAGAATAATTTCAAATGTGTTACAATAAATAAATCCTATATTCTTTAGTGCGTTAATGCTTCACACAGAATATTATCTTTCTGTCAACCTACTAAAATATGTATACAATTTGCCAATATTTTTCTTATTCCACACTGCTGTTGACATTTTTATATACATTAGTGTTGTGCTTTTTCTATTCTTTATTATATTTCATTCAGTTGCCATCAGTTATATTATTAACATCCAATGCAGAGATTTTCATGTTAAAACTTCATAGAGTTTAGAAAAAGAAACCAAAAGATTTGAAAGTCAAAGTTCATTGTGAAACTTCAAGCTTACATTACACACTTAGTTTTGGAGGAATCTATATTTTCAATGAAAACAATAGCTCAGCTGTCAGTTTCTGAATGTTGAAGTTCTGTTTTTGCTTTTGAGTGATCTCTTCTCATCATTAATTTGTGTCTATTGCCTCAAGCCTTCAAACCCCTAGTGCATGATTTCCTCATCAACACCAGTAACAGAAACATTGCAAATCCCATCTACATGCATAGGAGCCAAAATTATCAATAAATTGATCGTGGGCCCTTAAGATATAGAAGAAGAAGATGTATAGATTTTTTGCTGTTTTGTTTTTTCACTGTGTAAATTTGTGCCAAATATAATTATTTTAAATGCAACAAGAATCAGTCCAGATGTCATTTTTATCTTTTATCTTTAGTTCTATTAGTACTGTTTTCTGCCAACTTTGCAAAGTGACTGCTGATAAGGAAAGAACAGTTTAAAAGGACTTCACATGCATTCCTGGTTAAACTTATCCACAGACTCCCTATATGACTTAATTTTTAGAGATATTTTAAGTCATATAAGAGTAAGAGCCTGTGTTTAAATATATTTTTTTAATGTCATCATGCAAGCAAGCCTTAAGTTAATAACTGATAACAGCATGTTTTGTTTTTATTTGTAATCCCTCTAAAAATACCTTGTCATTGAGGAAATTATTCTTCATTCTTGTTAATCTTTTTGAAAAAGCTCTCATAAAATGTAGCAGAAAAAACTTGGAAAATTCAATCGACATTTTAACCTTTCCTTGTCATTTCTTGCCATAATCTTAACAGTATTAGGATTCTGTCGGATATGTTTGTAAAAATGTACTTAGAAACCACATTGTGTCGTTTTTTGTGTAGTTTTCCATGTAATGGAGAGGTTTTGTAAATATTTTATAATACTTTTTTTCTTAAAGAAAACATTGCTTAATTCGATAGCACTGTTTAATAAAAACTCACTTAATATAATTTCCCTGGGGCTTGCATTTCTATATGATTATTTCATCAAATTGACATCATTCTACTTTAAAATAAGTGGGTACAATGTTATGCATTTTCTGTATAATATTTCTTGGAAGAGTTATAAATAAATGTTGAATTCATTTATCGTGAATTTAATCTCTGTAATATACTTTTTCTTTCTGGCATAAATTTTTTTAACCATTCAACTGAATTACTATTAAATGAACACTTTTCTTTTTTATAAACACTTAAAATAAAGGTAGAATCTACAGCAAGGAAGTTTTTAGAAAACAAATATTGGTCATTTTCATGCTAATGATTTATTTGATTTATAGATACTATCTCAAAATATTTTAGTTACAATTAATCCTGTATGTACTGAGAGAGATTATTTTTTTCCTTTTCATTTTTTTAATGAAATGAATTCAAATTAAAGTAATAAAACTCAAATATTGTATTGTTTTTAAATTGACAATTTGATCATTACAATCTCATATTATTGTTTAGCAAAACAAAATTTTCTGTGTTTTTAGTAACATGTTCAGAGAGTTAACTATACATTATATACCACACTTAAACAAGTACAACACTTTATATTAGTCATTAGAAACAGCCTCTTGTTCAACCTTGATAGTGATATCTTCTTGATTCATAAATTGTGACCTCATTTCTTCTGTAAGTTCATCACCACCGTCTTTTTCTGAGGTTATTTCCCCTTGCTCATCAGCCACCATCTCCTGTTTCTCAGCAGTTAGCAGAAGTTCCACCTCTTCTAAAGGTATTCTGACCCTGATCTCCTCTTCTATCATCAAATCCATCACTTCTTGGAGTTCACCATCTCCAAATATAGAAATTCCATCCAAATAGATACACTGATGATAAGAAAAACATTTCACAATCAATGTAAACAATGTACATAACTCATGTAGAAACTGATGATAAAAAAACTAATGTAGAAACTGATGATAAAAAAACTAATGTAGAAAAGTGCCTATATTGGGGCTGAGTATTTTCATCATCCTAAACACCAGGACGATAAGAAGCAGTAAAATGCTTAATTTTTTTAAAGGATAGATTCCCTTGATACTATTTTAGATGAGAGTGGTCCCAAATATTGTGTGTAAAAGGGCACAATTAAATTAGTAAATTGGCAACATTATTATTATCTACATTACATTACATATAAATCCCATTAACTGTAAGTGCTGGAGATCCCTGCTGTCAAATCGACAAGAATTAGAACATGTTAAAGAATTATTCCATTTATCATGTGCAGACTATTTCATTCACTGGTTATAAATAATAAGTCAAGTGTAAACAAGGTACTGTGTGATACATTAGTCATCACACTAATACTTATTGCTCTCTACTGCAGGCCTGCACAACATATGGCTCGTGGGCCGCCCGCGGCGGCCCGCGAAGTAACGAAATATTCTTTATTCTTATTATTTTCATAATAGCTTTACCCCTGTCCTATTTTCTTTTAGCCCGCACAACTCCTGTCCTATTTTCTTTTGGCCCGCACAACTCCTGTCCTATTTTCTTTTGGCCAGCACAACTCCTGTCCTATTTACTTTTGGCCAGCACAACTCCTGTCCTATTTACTTTTGGCCAGCACAACTCCTGTCCTATTTACTTTTGGCCAGCACAACTCCTGTCCTATTTACTTTTGGCCCGCACAAGTTTTTCATAAAGTATTATGGCCCGCCTTACATTTTGAGTTGTGCAGGCCTGCTCTACTATATTGTTTGTCCGTGGCATGCGAATATGAACAAGACTTAATTAAAAGTTAGTGTGCCGTCCCTAAATAGGATAGCTCCTGATCCAAGGGGTATATGCCAAGCTTAAGTACATTATATATATTTTAAGGGATTTCTTCGTAAGGGAGAGTTGCGCAGAGAGTTTCTGGGAGTCTCTGTACAGAGGCTTACTCCATGAGTTTGGCATGTACGTCATAGAAATATTTTATAATGAAATAACAAA